GCCTGCCCATTGTGCACCCTCCCCTCAACCAGAGCAGTGCAGGCTCTCTCTACACTCCGAGCTCTGCTCTGCAGCCTCCCCTCTCGCCGGCTCTGTCTGAGTGCCTACGGTGGCCACCGCCAGGGCAGCCAGAGCAGAGCCCCCAGAGCGCCCTGGTCACACGGCGAGGGCTCACCATCCCGCCCGCCTGCCCGCGCCAACTGCCTCAACTCGCGCTCCCTGGGGCAGGTTTTTAACCAATCAGAGCTGGCGCCGCTCCTCCTGGCTCCGCCCCTAGTGAGTCCCTGCTCGCGTCAGCTGAGCTGCCGGCTCCTGAGGGAATCCTGTCGAGGACTCGAGGCTCCCTAGGTGGCTCTGCTCTTGTCGCTCTGAGTTGAGGCTCCTGGTCGCTAAGCTTCCCCCCGCTCCGGTGTTGAAGGTGTCCTCTCTCGAGCTACTCACCTCATCAATTCAATCTTCCCCCTGTTCTCAGTGTCTGACTGCCTGTGCTCCTTCAGTGGCGGCTGTGGATGGGCTCTGCTACCCCCCCCCCCCCCCCCGGGAAATCCCAGGACTGTGAAGCTACTGGGGACCAGCTTCTTTCAATACATATGAAATCTTTTGCGTTCCCCTTCAGCATGTCCCCTCAGATGACAGGGAACAGACATCTCAACAGCTTGTGAACCGTCCGTCACAGCCTACGGCTATCTACTACTATCTACTGTTCATGATAAGCCAGCAGGTTTTAGTTAATATATCATTCTGTGTTTTATTCTAGTTCAGTACTGGAAATGTGAGCAGCTGAGACTCCCCCTAGAGCAGTCAGGGGTGGGCAGAGATGTCTCCAGTTCTTCCAAGAAAGCTCCTTCCAGCACCAGAAGTCTTGGTCTGTAACTGTAGAGTGGTCTGATTGGTTTGGCACTTGCAGTGTTAGGAGGAGGTCTGAGAAAAACACTAGACTAACAAAAGCTTCAGAAATGTTACCAACCAAAAAAGCAGTAGATGGAACAATTGTGTCATATCCTTCAAGAAGTTGCTAAATGTTGTATGAAGCTGTTTTATAACAGACAAAAAAGTGCTGCTGTTATGCACAGAGTTCTGAGAAATGAACAGCATGAGTTTTCAAACAGTTTTTGAAAAATCTATTTTAAAATAATGATATATTTTTAACCTTTTCCTTTTCTAGACAATGTAAATTCAAATGAGCATTGGATTATTTCAAGGTTCCCTTTGGGCTATTCCTCCAACCTGTCTGGGTTCCTCTGGATGGGAGTCCTTGTCTTGAGCAAATCAGCTAGCACCTCAGTTTGGTGTCATCTGCAAACATGGTGGCAATGCACTCCATCACCTCTTCCCAGTCATTGATAAAGATGTTAAACCAGACAGGTCCCAGGATAGACCCCTGTGATACCCCACTTTTCACAGGCATTTATCCTTGGTAAAACCATACTGATTATTCCCAATGACCTTCTTCTCTTTAATGTGCCCAGAAATGTGTTCCAATAGGATTCACACTATGAGTTTTCCAGGTCGATAGGCCTATGTGTTCTTTGTGTTGAACTTTTGGCCTTTTTTAAAATATGGGTGTAACACCTTTCCTGAATAAGTTGGAAGTATGTTAACTTTCTCCAGGATAAAGCAGGAAACTGTTTAGCTTCTATTTAACAAGACCATAATGCCAGCTTCTGAGTACCTTGATATTTTCTTTGTTATACTTTCCTATTCCCTTCCTGACAGAGAGCCACTGAACAGTTCACAGCTCATGGCTAGGTTTGAATGGGTTAGAGCCAAACTATGCTTCACTGGTAATTTTGTTCACAAGGAGCAATATTGTGAGAGGTTGTATAAACTAGTGTACTCTAATACAACCCCATCACTCTTTCAGCAAGTGATTGTGAGCATTTCAACTCTGACCACTGCTGCATACTGAGAGAAACAGAAAGATGGTTTACACATGCGTCCAGCATGAACTCAGACTTGCTAAGAAATTGTCCTTGTTCTGATCTGCTGTGGAAAGCTTCCCAGGTGATTCTTTGACCAGAAGGCAATCATTAACTTTGTCTGCTAGGGCAGTAGGTGTGCCAATAGCTGCTTGCATCCAGCTACCATAGAAACTGGACAGTGTGGGGTATGGCCTTGGGCTACTCTGGTAACTGAAAGACTCCCAGCACTGGAACATGTCCAGGAACAACTGTTCCGAGCATTGGTTTGGCCAGGATTTTCAGGCAATGTCCTGAAACATCTCCTGGACATAGTCCAGAAGTTAGCTCAGGTCAGGGGAAATTTCTAAAGGCAGTTTACATGTGTCCACCTTATTTAAGGGTTTAATAAAATGTACCTGGGCTCTTACATGGCAATTGGCCTCAATGCAAGAAAGTAGTCTTGGGAGTATTTAGTGTAATAATAAAATGTCTAGTATAATTCTAAAATTGGCCTAATAATCAAATAGCTATGTTCATATGTCTAGTATAGAAATTTGAGCCTTTGAGTCTCAAAGTGAAAAGCAATTTAACAGCAAAACCTGATGTGCCAGCGATTGCTCACCAAATTATGAAAAATATTGTGAAACCCCCAAATCTGAATCTTGAAGACCAAAAGAAGCAGCAAGATATATGAATTGTCAAAATTAATGGGGCTAGTCAGAAAATAAACTTATTTTTCTTATGAATGAAAGTGCATAAAGGCTAATTCTGATAAGAGGAGAAACTGCTGAACATTTTCTCTTTATGTCTTAAGACCACCTTAGAAGTCAAGGTGAGCTTCCAGCATTGCATCCTCAGGTAGGACAAGTAGATGGTTCACTAACCAGCCATCTGAACTGGGGAATCAGGTGATAAGACTCTTTTGGTATAACTCCAGATCAAGGCTGAGCCTTGTAAGGCATTAGACTTTCAGCCGAAGATGGAAGTTTTGTCTGTGCTCTGCTATTACTTGCTCAAAGTCTGACTTTCTTGCTGGAATATGCTCCTTTCCCAAAGGAAGGAATCCAGAAATCAAAATATACCAGTAAAATAGTTTGTTGCTGTGCTCCTGATCTCTCTGATATGTATCAAACGATACCTCAGGAGGTAAGGGTATTTGCCTCTTGTCTTGTATGCTGCCCTCACAGTCTCTACTGACTACTCAGCTCTTACAAAGACTTATGTTGAAGAAGATGCTTCTGAGTGAAGCGGAAGAGGCATGTTTTATGCAGTAGCTCTCTAGGTAGGCAACTACCATTACATAGTAAGACTCCAGCTCTTTCAGTTGCTTTATGTGTACAAATAGATACCATTGTTTCACAACAGGGACTCAAAGACTGACCAGCTTTGACAAAGAACCGTTTAGAGCAATATTTAAAGAAATACTTAGGTTGGAATGTACCTCTGAAGGTCGTTGAGTCCAATCTCTCACTTCAAGCAGAGCCAGTGTCAGGTCCAGTTACTTGTCCAGTTGTGTTTTGGATATATCCAAGGGTGGAGCCTTTGACACCTGTTACAGACACCATTCAACCACTTTCCCTTGTAAATCGTTCTTTTTCCTCATATCAAATTGGACTTTCTCTTGCTGCAGCTTGTGACTGTTCCTTCTTCTCACACTGTGCAACTCTTAGACAAGTCTGTTCTGTCTTCTCTATACACAGTGGAAGATTTTAGTAGATCCCTTTAGCTTCTGTTCTCCAGGATAAAAAAGTCCAGTTCCTTAAGACCCCCATAGTCATATTGGTGTCCTGATGCTGAACTTTCCCAGCAGCGTCGATGTCTTGCTCGTACTAGGAGGCTGAAATCTGGAACTACATGTACAGGCTCATGAGTGCTGAATAGAGGGAATAATCCTTGACTGCTGCATCTGCTCCTCCCAGTATGTGGATAGTTTTCATCACCATAAGGAAGCACTTCTGATTTGTGTTCAGTTGATTGCCCACCAAAGCCTCAGAGCCTTTTCCGCAGACCTATCACTCAGCCATTCTCTAGGATACATGCAGCTTTTTTCCCCAGCTATTTGGCTTTGCATTTGCTTAAGAGGGTCCTATCAACCCCTTTCTTCAGCCTGTCAAGAACCCTTTGAATGGCAGGCCTGCCCTCCACTGTATCAGGAGGTGCTCTCAGTTTGCTGTCATCCAGTCTTGCCAAAGCTGCATTTCTTCCCATTGTCCAAGTAGCTGTTAGTACTAACTGTGAGTCTCAGCACTGATCCTTGAGGAGAACTGCTCATGACCAGTCAGTGCATTCAACAACAGCCTGGGCTGTTTTCCCAATACCTTGTCTTAACTCTATGGCTCTGAAAACTTAACTGTTCAGCTCAATAGTAAAGCCCTCTATTTGAACAAAAGAACACAGATTAACTGAGTCATGCACTCAGTATTTTACAATACTAAATTAAAGTAGTAAAAAAGCAAGTGAGCAGTAAGAACATTACGAGCTGGATACCTATAGAAGTAAATTCTGAGCTGATGTCAAGTAAATGGTGGATGATCTCTGTAACAGATGTAAGCTCTAGCATCAGTTAGGGTTTTAGACATATTCCTGTCCTTTGATATTCCTGTTGATTAGAGGCCACCACTTTCTGTCAGCTTGTTTTCAACCCCATTCTCAATTTTCTAGTAGCTTTAATAAGAGAGACAAGAAAACTTCAGGTATGAATAGGCCCATTCTTGACAGTAGAACAATGGCATTCAGGCACCAGAAATTTTATAAAAAAATATTTATCTCAATAAATTCATTCTTAATCTTTTTAATATAAAACAAAGTCATTATTTTTCTTTAAACAAAATAAAATGTAACTAAAATTTCTTGATTGAAATATTTCAATCATATTCACAAAAAGGACAAGTCACCCAAACAGTCAAAGTTAGCTAAAACTAGAAGTAAATACAATAGCATTTAAAAAAATTACATGTGAGGTATCATTCTCTTTTGGCTTCACTACTGGTTTTGCCAAGAAAAGGAAGAAACTGAAGAAAGCCCGTACATTATTCCAGACTTTCCACAGGAATATACACTTGCCTAAGCTAAGAAATACATTTTCAAATTCCTCAGGGATTTTTGTTATTTCAATATGTCAACAACTAAAGTTATCTCTTCCTTATCAGATGTTATTGCCTGAATTTTGCTCTCCATCAGCTGAAAGAAAAATAAGAACTTCCATTAGTTTTATATATGAGGTGTCTTGTTTTCAGCTGGGATAGAGCTGCTTGTTAGCATGCTGGTCAAATGCCACATGTGACCACTGCAGTCTGTCCTGTTACCTTACAAAATCCTATTTTGAACTGTTTTCTGTGTCAGCTTGCTTTCTATCTTGTGTGTGTAACTTCAAACAACAAAACTCATTGGAGCTGGGACTAGTGGGTGGGTAGGAGAGAGCTGCAGTGACCAAAGGTGAGATGTGGTGACCTGATCGGGTGACCCAGGATCCAGACACAGAGATCACATGTAAAGAACTTGCAAATTTATGGCTGTTGTACCTGAAGAGAGTGAGGGTTTATGCACTTCTCACTGGCAAACTTCAGCCCTGCTCAGCTGGCAAGGAACAGGAGGACTGGGATGTCTGTGACCCTCTTTATGTGACTGCTGGTGGTGTTGGCATGCTGCTGGTAAAGGCCCCTGTGCTGGTCTTTGTGTCTGCCTGCGTTAGTGTCCTCTATGTGTGTGCCATTGTACATATGTATGCCTCATGTTGGGAAAACACACAGCCCTTGCTGCTGCCTGGACATACCAGTGGGAGCATCAGCCCCAGCACGTATGGGACTAGAACAGGAGAAACTTTCTGGGTCTGTAAGAGCATTGCATTTGACTTCTCTTAACAAATTTGCCTGCTGATTTCCTCTTGTAATTCATCAAAATACGGCAAAGGAAGTTATTCTCTGTGTTAAGTTCCTTATAATTTTAACAATACCTGCAGTAGAGTCTTGTATGTACTTTACATATTTAATATTAAATAGAAAGAAAACATACCTCTGTATTATCAGGCAGTCCACAAAATGCATTTTTTGGCTCTGGGACTTGTGGAAATGCTGCTTTCCAGGAGCCAGTCCTGAATATCAAAAGGGGTGGGATAGAAAGTTAAAAATAAGTAACGGTTGTGCCAAAAGCATTGTACCCTTGAACCAGCTCTTATCTTTCTCTTACAGCATGGATGAGAAATAAAAAGCCCATATTATCTCAGCAGAGAACGAACACATCAGGAAAACACTAATAATTTGAGTAGTAATAGTTTCATTTTTGGTTAAAGATTCACTACAGTTATTTTCTTTGAAAGGAAAATGAATTTCTCCTGCTCTTTAAGTCACTACAACCAGTGAAAGTGGCTGCTAAAATTTTCACAAGTTGGAAGAACAGTATCTTCTCTGAATTATTGTGTATTTCTGTACAAAGTGTATGATGCAGAAAAATATCCTTTTTCTTTCTGTTCCGCTTGAGCTATTTTAAGAAGCAAGCTGCTTAGCTTGTGTGCTTTCAGATACATTCAGTTTACTAGGACAATGCTAGTGAATGTTTCAAAATCTTTACTGGTAACCAAACATATAATTGCATATAATTGGTCTCCTTGCCATGTTGATACAAGAGGTCGAGGAAAAACTTGTATGGATCAGACAGAGAGGGACTTTGGGCATCACCATTATCATACTTGTCTCAGAATCACTCATTTGATTGATTTCTAGTACAGTGTGAGTGAAAAAGTTGTATCTATAGTACTGAGACACCTCTACCTCATTTGTTTAAGAATTGCAGATGTTTCATGCACCTACACAAAATAAATGCATAAATTGTTTACCTTTTGCAGAATAAAATTGTTACAATTGCCACTAAAACTGTCCCAACTGCTACCACAAGTAAGATCCATACTGAAGAAGAAATAATTTCTTCATTTCCTGAAAGGCAAATAGTCATAAAGTATTATCATTGATAAAGAGGAGTAGATGCACAGCTGTATCAAACATCTACTCTGGTGACTGATGGGTAAATGTTTATATAAAGATCAAGTCTTTAATTTAGCACCTTTGCAGTAACATCTGCTGGGAAGTATTAGCATTAAGCCTCTTTGTCCATCCCATGCAATAAGCAGGACTGGGCAGCACTAGCAGCTGCATGGTACTTGGTAGTGGTACTTAAACCATGACAGCACTTCAGCTGCAGATGTGTAACTTTCTGTATTTATTTCCAGTGTTAGAGTGCTAAGAGATTTATTAAGTCTCTTCCTCCTCTTCTCTGCAGTGTGGAGTGAAACAAAATGTTTGCCAAGCCTTTATAGATCTGTGTGTCTAGGTGCGCATCAGTGTGTGAGGTAGACAAGACATCACTGAGGGATGAGTAGCCCAAGGCATGGATTTGGTCTTACCAAACTCTACAGGTGCACTCCACTCCCCCCAGGCTGGGCTCACAAAGCAGACACTGCCAGCTGCCCTCATTTGCAAGAGACACTTCTTTCTTGTGTTGTATCTTTGAAACATGTGGTTATTTCCCCCTTCCTAAAAACAAAGCAAAGCTGTGTTTTATTTTGTTGTGTGCCTAGGTCTTGATAATATGCAAGTGCCATTTACACATGAAACTTCCATGAAGCTTTAAGGGCATTGCTTTGTAAAGTAGACTGCTGCTCTCGAGCAAAAAATTACACACGTTAATATTTGTTATGTACATAATATGTACATGTCTGTGTATCCTAAAAATAGCCAGTCACTCAGACAAAAATTTAAGTTCAGAAGCTTTTCGTATTTTACACTATGTCTTGTAATTTCTAATGATATATATGATGCACTGGTAATTTCCCTCAGCACATTGACAGAGGCAGAAAAATATCTTGAGCTGTCTCATTTCAACACTGTTAGAATTGAGGAGACAGAACTGAGGAATAAACTGTCTGTGTGCACCTCACCTTCCTGAGTCTTTGCACTATGACTTTTCAGGAAAAGAGTAACTTTCCAGCCAAACCTGTAAAATAAATACAAGACTACAATAGCTGGTGTTACTAGAATTTACTGAAACATGCTTGCTATTGAAGACTTTCAGGATAGAGGTGGGATGTGGAAATTGAACTGATTGGAAGGAGGTGCAGCATACCTGGAAGGCAGTCTCCATCCCAAAGGGCTTTTATGGTCTTTGTTTTTTTTATAAACAAAATAAAATGCCTAGGAGGTGTTTTCTCTGTGTGTGTTTTCTCAGCTGTCACTGATGTGTAACTTGAAATTCTGTTCCAAATATTTGAGGTGGAGAGTGGCCAATGTAATGTGAAATGGAAAGTTTTTCAAAATACTTGCAGAATAGTTCTGCCCTTGAGTATATAATAAATGACAAGTATCATGGTGATTTAAAGTTTGATACATTTATGAAATCTATAAAGATCCCATAAAGCACAGGACATTGGACACATAAAGATTTAAAGACATTTGAGTGCCATTCATTTTTCACACTATGAAATTAACACATATTGCTGATTAATAGAACAAGCAAACCTACTTGTATAGAAGTATAGATGGTTTTTCCCTCAGGATTATCCTGTAAATTGAGAAAAAAGATTAGTTTTGTGTTTAGATAGTAAGTCATCTTTATCTACAGTCCCCTTTTTCTGCATTATTCTTTCTCTTCTAGTTGACAGGTTGTTAGTAAGAACTAGTAATTTATCTAACATTTATTATCTAATTTATAATTTGCGTACAAATCCAAGTTTATATTATAACTAATTCTTCTGTGAGAAAGTATTAGTGTTTGTTTTCTTGACCACCAGAGGTGAGAAATAGATTTCATTTCAGATTGATGAGTAAACTGGAACACCAAGCAAACCAGACCTGAATAAAACTGTAACTTTATTCTTGAAAAGAAAAAGGTAGAAATCTGTAAATAAACTTTTTATTTTATATCTATTGCTTATATTTTAAAACAAATGTCACTATACTTAGTTGCAAATGCTATGTAAAATTACTTTCCCTTAGATGAAAATACCCAGGACTGACATGGATTCAGGGATATTTTATGCTGCCCTCCAATTACATTTTTGATAGAATAAAAATTCACTCATCCCTTCCAAATAGCCATAATGACTACTACTACGAGAAAAGTTTTTATGAGTGCACTGAAAGTGTAAGGGAGGTTAAGGAGAATACAGCTCACTGAGTTGGGGGAACCTGGTGACAAGGGAGGTGGAGAAGACTGAGGTGTCTGACGTTTTTTTAGTTCCATTTTCACTGGAAAGGTTAGCCTTCAGATTTCCCAGATATCTTGATCTATAAAGCCTTAACTTAAAACATGGTTGAAGAAGAAACCGAGAGTCTCAGCAAATTCAATTTATCAGTGTCACACATGTAAAATGTGATTGAATTTCTGTTATTCATGGTGTAATGTATATTGCTATGAAATAGCAAGCTCGATCCAGACTAAATTCCCAATAGCAGAAATCTAGGGAATGCCTTCACCCAGTCACTAAGTGGCCAAACCTGGTTATAGTACAGGCAGGTTTTAATTTGTAGTAACCGTCTGCCACCCTGTGGTCATTTGCCGCAATTCTGCCACAGTTGCAGTAGTTTAGGTTTACTGCTTTTGCAGTTCAACACGGCAATCTCACTCCTTCCCTATCTTTGTGAAAAGACTTGGAAAGCCAAGGTCTGAAATTGAGTTTCAGTAGCTTAAATCACTCCCTCAGTAATGTATGTTTATTCGCACCACCTGTCTGCTTTCTGTCACATTTATTTTCCTTTTAATTAACATTGTACAGCTTCAACTTTTGTACCAATGGGCGTGTTGCTTATGTATGGTATCTGGATAAGCTATTTACATTTCATATATAGAAAAGATTCATTCACCTCCATCAAATTGTACTTGTTAAGTGGATGCACATTCCTCTATTCAGTAATTCCATCCCAGCTCTACCTTTTCACAGGGATACAGTCAACACCAAAAGGCCTTCAAGACACCCACAACAGGTCTTGGTGAAATAAATGCATTTTCTGAGTTTTGAAAGAGCGAAAGCCATGGTATGTTCAAGTCTTGATTAACCATGCTTCTATGCTTAGTTCCACACAGCCACAGTCATCTAGTGTATCTCCAGCAATATCTCACTCAGGGGAACTGGGGTACAAAACTGGGGTGGTATGGCATGAAAAGGTGCCTGAAAGGTACAACCTCAAAGGAATATGGTGTTACATATCAGGAAGGCTACACTGCACAAGAGAGACTGATTTTCTTTTCACCTATGTGCATTGGTAAATGTATGGATTAATGTTAAATGTAGGTGAAGAAATTTCTCTTACCTTATACTTTATGTCAATTTCATATTTAAAACACTTGTCTTTGTTAGAATGACTTATTTGGGGTCGTTGCCATTGAATAATGCAATTGTTTTTAATTTCATCACAGTTGACAGTGATATTTGCTGGAGGCAAGAGCTTTTCTGAAATTACATAACCAGGAATTCAAATAAATAAAATAACTTGTTCTCTTTTTGCTTTGATAAAAGAGAGTGCAATTGCAAGTAACACCTATATTAAGATATTCATTTGTATCCATTTATTTTGTTTTAGGAAATCTCTTAGAAATAACTGAAATACCATAGATCTTCAAATCCTCTCCTCAGCATCAGTAGAAATGGGGACTAAGCCAGGGAACATGACTCAGGAGCTTACAAAGACACAGCTCAATTGCTTCTCCTTATAGAATGTAGCCTTGTTTGCCCATTTTTCTGAGAAAATACCAAAAACAATGGGACTTTGCCGGAAAGGATTTGCCACAGTAAAATTAATTACACAGGATGCTTACAAGTACAGCACTACATGTGAAAGAGCATATGAAAATCTGGGATATTTTGTACATATATTAATTTCTTTAACCAGGGGTATGGTTCTGGTGTGTGCCATCCCCACTTGCAATGAGAAACAGAAATCACTGTTCAGATAAACTATTCTTGACCAGTCTGCTCTGTTGAAAGGTTTTTGGCCACCATTGAAAGTACGGCAGGGGAAGTACAGTCTCTTGAGTCCTGTGGACCTTGCTAAAACTAAAACCAATAAGCAATAGCTAAAGAATCTGAGGCAGGCTGCAGCTGTAGAGGTTTCTTGCTTATTTCCCTCATTGTTCTGTTGCTTGGGGAATAGGTTTTCTTGAAGAGGCCACAATCTCTTTCAGCTCTAGGTGAGACAGGGTACCTGGTTCTTTCTCAGGGAAAAATGTGCAACCACCCTCATGCACTAATGAAAATAAAGCATAAATAAACTATTTTCTTACCTATTTTATACAGGTTGATGTACTCATCATAGAGCTGGATTAGGGAGTCTTTGCTAGAGCCGTTCACCAGGAAGTAAGCTTTTTCAGTCTCTATCCTCACATTTTGGAATTTACATCCTGTATTTCTGCCATTTTCATCCTTAATGTAAAGCTCACATTCCATCGCATCATCATATCTATATACAGCAAGGTATTTTAGATAAACATGGGCAATGTGATGTGTTGAATGAGAATTTGGACTTCCCTAGGCTCAAGCAGACCTACTTACCGGGAGTTCTGCCAATAGAGAAAATACTGGGTATCTCCTGGTGCATCTTTGCCTGCCTGCCAAGTGCAGTTCATGAAGGAAATATTATAAATCACACAGGAGAAGTTTTCAATGGCTGATCCATTTATGCCTGCAGAAACAGGAATATCCATGCTGAGTAAAAATCGTGTGACTGCTCTAAGCTGGAGGATCTTGGCACACCTGCAGCTCCAGCTAGTTTCTGATTGGGTCAGGAATGACTTGCTTCATTTTAAGAGAGTGACATAGAAGGTGTTTACACTAACAGATTCAGTGAAGAATTTGTCATGGATAAAGTCTCCACGGATATGAATAAATAAATCTCAGGGAAGCGGACACTACCACAGGCTGACACCTAAAGTGGCTACCCTGTGCTTTGGATTGTTCCTATTCAAAAGGAGACACTGGTGCCACAATGCCACAAAGTGAATAATTAGTCTCTCATCCTTCAGAACCCTGCCACAGCATTTCTAGTTTTAGTTCAGCACCCTATCAAATGAGTGAAGAGCATGAGGAGCTTTCCTATGGACTCCAGAGAAGGAGAGAAACCCAAGGACAGAGCTGTGAAGTTTTTCAAGACTCAAGGTAGGTGTAGATGCAAACTTGTGAAGTGTTTGTGCTCTGCAGCAATACCTTCCTCCAGCTGGGATTAACATGAGGAATCTTCTCCTGGTCCCAAACATTTTACTCCTTACCCCACCCCCAAGAAAACCCAATAGAGAGACTAAACATACCTTTTAAAAGGAAGGACTATTTATCTATCCTTTTATAAGGCATCAGCCAACACTTTGAGCTTGATAAGGCAGGAAGTAGTGCCATTTTGTATATGCAACTCCATGTTGATTGAATGAGCAGATATTGTACCTCATTCTCTTTAGTCTCATATATGTTACCCCTCTCATACAAAGAAGAGTAAACTTTCTCAGACCTTTCATTATTGTGAATAGGACACTGCAAACTATTGGGCACTACACCATGAGTTACACCAGGACAAAATTCAAGATGTGACAGATTTCTCTGTGAAGAATTTCAAAGCTACAGGCACTAACCTGTTTCACTTGGATTTTTAGTGACATTTTGAGGACATTAAATGCAGTCAATAAAATATTAGCACAAAGAATTAAAAGAGAATTGGCAACTGAAAAGACAGCAACAGAGGACTGCAAAATTGTTGAGCTAGTTGTAGGAATCTTATTTTTTTTTCAGAGAAACATTGTCATGTTGCCTGACACAGTAGTGTAGCATAAATCACCCCTTTTGTGTTCATGTAAAATAGACTGTCAAAACCAATACCTTCCTTTTATAGTTCCTGTTCCTGAAACAACTTTATTTTGGAGATTACCTACCCAATCAGATTTACAGTATTGGCCAAATGGATGGAGACAGCTTTGAGCTGCAGAAGAAAGAAATTTAGCTAAGGCCAGAGTAACACATATACAGAGAAAATTATAATCCCAAGAGGAAAAATTCATGACTTGCTTTGAAGTATCTGTGCAGCTTGTAGAGGATGGTGAATTTGCTTAACAAACACAGTAGCTGCAAAACAGGAATTGCTTGGTTTGCTGTCTTCTCTGCATAAGCGCTGAAAACAGACTAAATCAGAATCAGAAGCTGCCTTTTCATAAAGTCATGGCACTTCTCAAGTAAACCATTTACACAGGATCTGAGTTCTAGATCTCCTGTCTGCTACTGAAAGTTTGGATCTAAATTTAAACTGAATTTGGCAAGGAATGTAAAAATTAATAATAAAGGATTCTACAGGTATGTTGGTCAAAAAGAAAATATTAAAGAAAGTGTTCTGCCCCTGGTAAATAAGACAGGAGAACTAGTGAATACTTACATGGAGAAGGCTGAGGAACTCAACAAATTTGTGACTCATTGTTCTCTGCAAATCACTTTTCCCACACATCTCAAGTACCTGAACATTACTCAAGGTAGGGACTGGGGAAATGAGGTCTCTTCCCTCATAGAAGAGGATCAGGTTTAAGGCCACCTGAAGAATCTGAGTATACATAAATCCCTGGGACCCAATGAACATGCATCTTAGGGCCCCAAGGAATTGGCTAGTGTTGCCAATCATGTTGGTGGTTGTTGCCAATCACTATCGTATTTTATGATGGTGTTGGTCCATCATAGAATCATAGAATAGTTAGGGTTGGAAAGGACCTTAAGATCACCTAGTTCCAACACCCCTGCCATGGGTGTTAGCATAGGAACAAACACATAACCACCAGAATGGTTATATGAGGTGCTTTATTGCAGCGCTGGGGAACCAGGGGTACGCACCCAAATCTGGTTTCGACCTTGTCACATTGTGTTCCCAATTTATACACCTTTAGCACGGGTTACAACATCAGCTAATGCATATGCATTAAGGATTGCCACATCATAAATGTTACCACATCAGCCTCTTCTACTCTTGCACAGCCCCCTCTGGTGGTCGTCTGGTGGTCGTTCCGATGAAGTAAGGAGTCTTCCTCAGATGAAGTAAGAAGTCTTCCTCAGGTTAACCTCTTCACCTTTCCTTTACTGTGACATATCCCAACCCTTGTGTGTATGCTAGCATTTTCTTATCAGTTTCTGGTATGCTCTTTTTGGCTTTCTAAAGTTTTGGTTCTACTCGGGTATAGCTCCACAGTTCATTCCTTCCTACACTCCCTGTATCATATATGGTTATGTTAGTTTCTATTGCTAAAACTACAGAGTTATAGGATGGTACAGCTATTGCTGAGTTTACAGAATAGATAGAATACAGAACAACAAAGCCCCAACCACATATAAAAACCTTCTATTAATTTATAAGCCTTTTGAATATAATTATTTCTATTATGCTTTATACTATGCTATAAGTTTGTCCCATCACAAAACTTCACCCTTCCTTAATATCAAAAGAGGGAAGTTCTATGATAGAACAACCACACAAAGTTATGGAGAAAATTTTATCATTCTCTAACATAGGCAGGAACACCACACACTAAAGCATGTCACCCAAGACTCTCTCCAGCCTTTAAAAATTCATGACAGTCAGGCAATGTATTGGTGACCAGGTAAAAGAGAACACTGCACCCATTTCAAGGGGTCATAAAGAGGAACATGGGAGCTACTAACCAGCAAGTCTCACCTCCATGCTTGGTAAAGTCATGCAAGAGGTCCTCCTAGAAGTTATGTTGGATCATATAGAAGATGGAAGTGATTAGAAATAATCAGCATGGTGTCACCATTATAGTCTTGGTAAAATCTCCTGCAGTCACTAAACATTGGTCCTCAGTGAAACTCATGCTGCTTATCCAACTCAGTTCCATTTTCCACTGATTCAACATCAAATTTATAATAGGTGAGTCTGGCATCTCTGCTTCAAATATCACACAGTAGGACCAGCAAGGTGCAGATTCTTAGATTTTTGGGTGTAGAGGTTATTACCCACGACATGTAAGACAGAAGGCAATTTAAGCACAGCTACTCATAATAAGAAGCACATTACACTCCTCTTCAGTGGACTGCTCCATGAAAGTGTTCTACTCACAGTCTGTACAGTGCCAGCCAACACACAACTGGGTGATCAGCAACATCCACTGAGTCATGAAGATGAGTGCAAGAGGAGCAACCATATCTTCCTCCTTGGAGACAGAAAACAGTGAAACGTGATGAAGATGAAAGTTGTGGATGTGAACCACTCTTTCCTAAATTTATGTAGTCTGACCTGCTCATATGCCTGCTTCTACACTGTCTGACCATCTCTCAGTTCTGGTGGGAGAAAAATTCAACAGACTTCTCAACCAGTCAGAGAAATGTTCAAATAAACAGCAACAAATTTAAAGAGGTTGTACTTTTTTGTAACAAAATATTCTGTGTAATGATTTACAAATCTGGTGATCTGGGGACCACTGCATAAATGTTACATACCTGCATTTGGTGACTGCTCTCTTAAGGTCTAATTTTTATATCTGCCACATACAAAAGTTAGGATGAATAGACATCAAGCAGATGGGTAAACAGCCGCAAACAGAAAATACCAAAATGGATCACAGCAATATCAATCAGCTCAAGTTACCCAACGGTGAGTATGCTAAGTTTGATGAAAGTTCATGTACTTTCAAGGATATTTTTGCATATATGCATTAAAGTGGATCTAGGATTGATATCTAATTCCTACAATTCAGTATCAATCACAGTAAGAAAATGAAAATTGTGGCTAGGACATTTCTTAGCAGGCAGTACTTTGCAAAAAAACCTTCATTCAACTTAGCTCCATGTATTCCTCTGACAAAGTTTTTAGATTTTGCCTGAGATCACCCCTCCAGCCCTGGACTTCTTAGAGTCTCACTGAATACCTCAGCAAACAAAATGGATGGAAAGATGAAGATGGACCTACCTTCTATTTCAAAGCATCTTTATCTTGTTTATCTTTGTATCATAGTCTTCCAGATCAGAGAAGATAAAAAGACTGGTATTTTAAATGATTGCATGGCTATAAATAGGGCTGTCTCCCTTACTGCTTGTGTTTTGGGGAACTGTCGTACTGTCGGAAGTGTTGCAAGATATGACATTCATCACTTCCCTCCTGATTCTTGCCAAATTCCTGCAATTGCATAACTCGTGATTTCATATAATGTGAACAAGTGTTTAGCTGGTTAAATTTTCCTTTCTGTTGTACAGAACCCCTTTGTTCTTAGGAATCCAATGAGTACAAAGAAACTTTTACAGGTATTTCTCTCTAGCTCTAAGTAATACTGAGTAGTACAAAGCATCTCTCAGGACAAACCATCTCTGGGGCCTGGGAACAATGGGAGCTCCCCATGGTGGGTGAGAGCTGGTAGCCAGGGTCTGTCCCATCTCCTCAGCCAGCGTCAGGGCAGCTGGGGGCACTGGGAAATGTCACAGAGAATCAGATGGGGTTCTGGAAAACAAAGGAAACAGAGTTTTTTTTCTCTCCTTTCTCCCAGCCTTTCACCATCCTGGGTCTCCATCCTCCAATAGATCAGTTCCCAGAGTGTTAAGCAGTCTCCCACCTACTCCATCCATGACACATCCAAACAAGGAGCTCTGCTCACTTACACTGCAGGAGCAGAGAGGGGAGGGAGTTGAGGTGAGCCATGCAGACCCAGACATTGTACTGGGAAGAAGAAAGGCTAGGAACAATCACACTGAAGTTGTGTTTACTGATCCTGCACCACTTAGGAATGGTTTTAAGGGTGGCCGTTTCTGAGAGAGCTGTAACTCTATGCTCCAATGGAGATTTCTTGGCAGAAGCAGTTGGCCCACAGTTGGCTAATGACTGTACCTGGATTGCTCAGCAGTGTCTGTATCTTGGACACCCTTTCATCACACCATTTAGCACTGATGCAGTGGGACGTTGCCTGCCGTGGGCAACAGTATGTTTTTTCTGTGCCTAAGTGTGGTCCTGGGAAGTGCTATCAACTTCCAGCATATGAGAATTTTGAATTATGCATCTTGCAATGGGTGGACAGGGACAAGCACATCTGTCCAGTGCTGGGTTGTCTTTCTCCAGCTGATGCCTCAGCTGTGTGGCTACTTGTGCACCCAAAGCAAAGCCCCATGTTCCCACTCTGAAGGTCTCCTGAGCCTGTAGAGCAGGCAGCAGAGGAGCATCTCCGAATCTGGTGCTCTCACAGATTATGCACCTTAGTAACACAATAAGGAAGTCTGTGTTTTGTGGTTTTAGGGTTTGGGTACTTTTTGTTTTTAAACTGAAATATACTGCAACAGAGCAATCCAAACAGCCCACACAGACAGTGGTGTTACCACACAGACATGGGAACTGTCCTACACAGGGGATTTCTTTGCTGAGGCTTTCAGAAAAATAGAAACAAATTAATAAAAAAGATAAAATGCTGAAGCAAAGCTGGTGCTGTTAATGGTGCTACCAAAGTCTGTTACCATCCTTTCCCATTGAGTGGTATATTGGGTCTTTGCCCTCGGATAGGAAAGGGGTACCGTAATCGCATTCCTACTCCCAGGAGGTGATTGGTGACAGCCAAATGGCTTCACTAAGGGCAAATCATGACTGACAAATTTGCTGGCCTTCTATGACAGGGTTACAGCACTGGTGGACAAGGGAAGAACAATTGATGTCATCTGCCTGGAGCTGTGCAAGGCATTTAACACCGTCCCACATGGCATCCATGCCTCTATACTGGAGAGACATGGATTTAATGAATGGACCACTTGGTGGGTAAGGAATTAGCTGGATGTTCCCACTCAAAGTGTTGTGGTCAGCTGCTGGAGCACCTCGTCTGTGAAGACAAGTTGAGAGAGTTGGGCTTGTTCAGCCTGCAGAAGTTTCATGGGAAACCTTATAAAAGTTTTCAAATACTTAAAGGGGGCTTACAAGAAACCTGGATAGGGACTTCTTACAAGAGCACGTAGTGACAGGACAAGGGGGAATGGCTTTAAACTGAGAGAAGGGGGATTTAGATTTGATATTAGGAAGAAATTTTTTACTGTGAGGGTGGTGAGGCACTGGCACAGACTGCTCAGAGAAGTTGTGGCCCATCTTGGCAGTGCTCAAGGCCAGGTTGGATGGGGCTTTGGGCAACCTGGTCTAGTGGAAGGTGTCCCTGCCTGTGGCATGGGGTTGGAACTAGATGATCTTTAAGGTCTCTTCAAAACCAAACCATTCTATGATTCTATGACCATTTTCTCATAGAAGTATTGTTCAGGAGACAAGTGTTCAGGAGACAATTTTCTCATAAGTCTATTTGTTGCCTTCAAATTATGTTGCTACATCCTTCAGCACAATATGCTCTAAATGTTGCTCACAGCCATTTACAAAACCAAAAATTTCCTCCCACTTTTCATCACTTCATATCTGTGGTAGATGAAAAAAATAGCTCAAAATAGGATTGCTGACAGGTATCAGATAATTGAAAGAATGTAAACCCATGGGTTGAGATAAGACCAGTTTAATAACTAAAGTACAATATATTACTGCTACTACTATTACTAATAATAAGAATTATAAGGGAAATAACAAGAGGAGAGTATATAAAACTAAGAGAGGAAAGGAAAAAAACCCCAATAAATACAAATGATGCACAATGCAATTGCTTATCACCCACCGACCAATACACAGCCAAAGAGTGATCTGCCCTTCTGGGTGACTACCCCCAGTTTATATACTGGGCATGACATGCTGTGGTATAGAATACCCCTTTGGCTATTTTGGGTCAGGTGTCCTGTCTCTGTTCCATCCTGGCTTCTTGAGCCCCTACTTTTTGGCACAGCATGAGAGACTGAAAAGTCCTTGATCAGGGTAAGCATTACTTAGCAACAACTAAAACATCAGTATATTATCATCATTGTTCTCAGACTAGAGCCAAAACACAGCACTGCACCAGCTACTAGGGAGAAAACTAACTCTATACCAATGAAACCTGGACAGTATCCATACCTTATTCCATATCATTCACATCATGACAGGTATGACACTTCCCACCGTCACTTTTCCTGTCTTTTGATAGATATAAATATATATACACACAGATATAATTTTCCTAGTCTACGGACCATCTCTACAAATGTTTGTTGAGTTCATTCAGTCCATGACTTTGGGCTCTATCTGTTGCAACAGTCTCTCTGGACAGAAAAGATGAATGGTGTGTGCTGTTGGATTGTTGCATGCTGAAGCTCATTCCCATTCCATTACAGCTGCACTTCCCCAGTTTTGTCAAAAGTTCATTCTTTGTTAATGTGGTGATCAAAAGGGTGTCAGGTTCAGATCCTCAAATCTGGAACGATGGAGATGGGTGCCACGAGGTGCTCAGAACAGTGACGGGTATATAGCAGCCATGGAAGTGATAATATCAAATGTTATACATCATCATACAGTTCAATTGGCTGGCCATCTTCACCCAAAATCAAATTTCCTTGAGATACAAACTGGACTTCCCACATCCTCCCTCCAGGTGAACCCAGGTCCCTGAGCAAAAGCAATCCCATGAGTGATTTTGTCTTTGCTGAAGCAGAAATCACCCAGAGTGTTTTCCCCAGCAAATTCTTTATGTGCACCACAGGAACTTTATCTCCCTCTACAGTATGTAAAAGTTGTGATTATGCTGGGCCAGCCCTGTTGGCAGATCCTCTGGTGTTGACCAACCAAGTGGCCTTTGGTAAATGTGTATCACAATGCTTGAAAGTTCCCCCACCCATTGCTCTCAGTGTAGTTTTTAACAGCCCATTGTACCTTTCGATTTTCCCAGAGGCTGGTGCATGGTAGGGGATGTGATATACCCACTCAATGCCATGCTCTTTGGCCCAAGTGTCTATAAGGTTATTTCAGAAATGAGTCCCATTGTCTGACCCAATTCTCTCTGGGGTGCTGTGTCACCACAAAATGTGTTCTCAAGGCCCAGGATAGTGTTCCGGGCAGTGGCGTGGGGCACAGCGTACGTTTCCAGCCATCCGGTGGTTGCTTCCACCATGGTGAGAACATGGTGCTTGCCTTGGTGGGTTGATGGGAGTGTGATATAGTCAATCTGCCAGGCCTCCCCATATTTGTACTTCAGCCATCGTCCTCCATACCAAAGAGGCTTTAACCACTTGGCTTGCTTAATTGCAACACGTTTCACACTCGTGAATAACCTGGGCAATAGTGTCCATTGTTAAGTCCACCCCTCGATCACCAGCCCATCTATATGTTGCATCTCTGCCCTGTTGGCCTGAAGCGTCATGGGCCTACCAGGCTAAAAATAATTCACCTTTATGTTGCCAATCTAAGTTCATCTGAGCCACTTCAATCTTAGCAGCTTGATCCACCTATTGGTTGTTCTGATGTTTCTCAGCGGCCCAACTCTTGGGTACCTGAACATCTATGTGATGTTTCAGTGGTATCCAAAGGATATTAAAAAGCTTTAAAATTTTCAAACGCTACTGTAAATAGCCTGATGGCAAAAGGGAAGATGTGGGAGGAGGTCTCCTCCACATGTTGGCCCTCTGAGAAGAAAAAGCAAAAGGTATAATTATTAATAGTTTCAATTAGGTGGCTCCAAAAATATAGAGGTAATGGCAATGCTGAATACACATACCAGATTGGTTTCACAACCAACAATTCTATCGTATCACAAGCCATTACTATAAAGCACACCAAAGTGAGAGCCTTAGTCCAGGTCCCATGGATGATAAATATCACTGCAGGGAATGCATACTTCAAGTAAGGTATTAGATAATGCAAATCTGAAACCAAGCTTGACCAGTTCTGAGAGCAAATAAAAGATCTGTTTTTATCTCAACCGTTTCAGCCCCATGTTGGGCTCCAAAAAATGCTATCATGGTTTAAACCCAGTCAGTAACTAAATATCAAGCAGTTGCTCACTCACCCCCCCCACACACACCTTTTCCCTCTCTAAAGGAGAATTGAAATAATGTAAACCCCATGGGTTGAGATAAGAACAGTTTAATCACCAAAGTAAAATGTACTACTACTAATAGTAATAATAATGATAAGGGAAATAACAAGGGGAGAGAATATAAAGCTAAAAGGGGAAAGGAGAAAAGCCCAATAAACACAAGTGATGCACAACACAATTGCTCACCACCTGCTGGCCAATACCCAGCCCAACCCAAGCAGCAATCTGGGCCTTCTGGGTGGCTCCCCCAGTTTATATACTGGGCATGATGTGCTGTGGTATGGAATACCCTTTTGGCTAGTTTGGGTCAGGTGTCCTGTTTCTGCTTCCTCCTGGCTTCCCTTGCCCCTTCTCCCTGGCAGAGCATGAGAGACTGAAAAGTCCTTGATCAGGGTAAGTGCTACTGATCAACAACTAAAACATCAGTGTGTTATCAGCATTGTTGTCAGACTAAAGCCAAAACACAACACTGCACCAGCTACTAGGGAGAAAATTACCCCATCAGAAACCTGGACATAAGAAAAAACCAAAAATAATCCAACCAACAAAAATTATTAATGGAAAATACAATCAAATAGAGAAAGGCTTTTAAAGATAGGTTATTGGGGAATTGCCTCTACAAGAAACATTTTTCTCTCTGTTTGCAAGGGGGAAAATGTATGAAAAACCTGTAAATTGCTGCTGTACTTGTTGCAGCTGAGGTAGAGTTAATTTACTTCAGGTAGCTGGCTCACTGCTGTGTTTTATCAAGAAGGTATACATGTTTGAAAAAATTCAGGTTGCTTCTTTCTCTTGCATGCCATTATGTCACTTCTTCAATCATTGCTATTGTTTCTTCAGTTTCATGCATTATTGACTGACTCTTAAATTCTGCCTATTAAAAGAAGAATAAAATTTTTTTTTAGTGTTTCATGCATGAGATTATCCATGAAATTACAATTTCTAAATTTCCTGTCATTCAGAGATTCATAATTTGTTATATAGAAGCTACAATGGGACTCCATCAATGGGAGGAAGTAGACACATCTAGGTTTTCCTTCCAAGATGAGCTCCCTAGAGTGGAAGAAAAGACTTTTCAACTCAAAAGCCAGAAAACTCATATTTTGAAACATAGAATTGTTAACATGATGAAGGAACAGAGCATAAAAAGATGCATACAAGACCACCAGTGATCCAGTGTGTCCTTGCAGATACATTCTTGCTTCCAGACCTGGATGTAGCCAACTAAAGGACTTCATATTGCAAATTGGATGAAACTGCAACATGCTCTCTAGATGGGCACTTCCATATCTGGATGGGTAGTTCTTGCTATGTCAGTTGCTGCTTCTTACAAGTCTCTCCATCTCTTTGCATAAGCTAGAACCTCTCAGCTCTCTGTTATACTTTATTGCTTACCATACCCTAAAAACCTTTCTTCTTTCAGCATCATTGCCAAATACCAACATGGCTGTCAATATCTGCTATGGCACAACTATTTTTGTCCAGCAGTAGATTTCTTTGTCCTTTTTCTCCTCACAGCTGGCCAACAGCCTGTATTATTAATGTGCTGAGGAGTTTATGCTCAGCACTATTCTAGTGATAGCATGTGGCTTATAGGGAGAGCAGGGTGAAAATGTAATTTCTCCAATGCTTCAGGCAGATGAATGACCGCAGTTTCAGAATGGAAAAGGGAGAATAAAAGAATAATTTGCATATTGACCTTCTCTTTCAGTATCTCAAGAACAAAAAAAAAATTATCCTTACTTCTGTGCACCTTCCTGGCACTTAGGTTGTACCTTTGAGACTGCAGTGGATCCTTAATTACAACAAATTTCAGGTAAATGGAAAGAAGACATACCTTGAAATCCATTGAGCAGAGCTCATAGAATGGGTCTCTTGGCCGTGGTATTGTAGCAGATGCTTTTTTCAAATAAGATCTTCTACAGTGACAAAAAGGGTTGGTGAAGAAAAAAGGTTAGCTTAACTATATAATAGTGTTCCTGAGGTATTATTTTACTCCTTGAGGACAAAAGTAGTGAAAAAGTAACTACAAAATTACATAGGCTGAATACAATGGCATAATTTCATTGTTCAGAATTTGAATTATAATAATTTATTTTATTACTTACTAGAGAATGATTGGAAATTGCTTTTTTAAGTATCTGAATGTGAAATATCCTCAAAGCAAAAAACATTACAGGGTCTAATGGCAGGAAAGCAGCAATGATATAAGGCCTTGTCCCAGTATCGAAAAGTTTTGTGTTATATCGATCAAGTGGATGAGAAGGTTAGGAACCGGAAATACAGAACCAATTTGAGGGTCAAGATTCCTGCTATAGTTCTGTGTTGATTTTCCCCCTCCCTCCTCTCATTTAGAAAGAGGCCAGAAAATTTCTTTTAGGTAAGGTGGTGTTATTTCAGCTACAGAATAAAATCTTTGGACAAGAAATAAAGCTTACACTGTGCAGAGAAGAAGTACAAGGCCTGCTGCCAGCACTGATATCAGAGATAACATATATGGTGAAGTAGATGTAAGTTGGCTTGTTCCTGAAAGACAAGAAGTCATCAAAGTGTTCATTAGTATCACAGAAAAGGAAGGATTTCACATCTATGTGCAATCTGCTTTGCATTATGGTGTCAAGCATTAGTATGAAGTCACTTATTTAGCTTAGCACCTCCTTGCCCCGTAACATGTGAGGGAATGGAGCAGCTGACAGTATGTGGACTGTCTGTGGTGATTTTAGATGTTACAAAGCATTTTGTGAGGAACTGAGGCCCACAGAGTACTTCAAAATACAGGATGGCAGAGAATTAACAGGGGAAAACAGAAGTTTATAAAGCCAGAAGTATAAATGGTAGAAAGAAAAGAACTGACAACAGATCTCAGAGTTTTGCTTCAATCGCTATCTCCTTCCAAGAAGCACCCACTGTCACACCAGAAAGCTTGGAGAAGTCATTCATATTGAGATAGGCAAATTCTTCACTTGTTATTGTAGTATATTAATGTGCAAATATCAATGTGTTTTCATCTCTAAGTATGAAGTAATAAATGAGGCAGACAAATAATAAATGAGGGAAAACTAAGGCAGGGTAGTGATTTTCATTCTTACCAAACTCTACAGGTGTACTCCACTCTCCCCAGCTAGTGCTCACTAAACAGCCATTGTCAGTTGCTCTGATTTTGACGCTGTACCTTTTTTCTGTGCTGAAGCTTTCAAATATATAGGAGTTTCCTGTGATGCTGCTTTCCTAAATGCAAAACAGCTAGACTGAGAACTTTTTATTAACTAGACATACTGATGTTAAGAATATGTCAGGTTCATTCAATGATGCAAAAAATTACAAAGCAAAATTTTACATATATTCCTGTGAGCAGATTAGAGTGAAATAACAAAACCCAAACACTTAGTAAGTTAGCTTGTTTCATCCTAATTCCTTTTGTTTGAACATTTTGTGGTGGTGATATGAAGATGAAATATGAAGTATGCTTCTCTGACTCCTTAGTCTTCGCTAAACAAAAGGGATTTGGGGAAAAAAACCCAAAACAATAGTTTGTTTTTAGCCTGTAATGGGCTTATTTTACTGTAAGATAGCTCTTTAAAGGTCTGGCATTCCCTTACTGTGGACGTTTTCAAAACTGAGATAGAGTTTGATGGCCAGATTATACAAAAGTGAAAATTGCTACATATGTTGAAATCCTTCTCAAAAGAATATTGAGGCTCCTTGAAAACTTGAGTATATATTTTTTTGTCTTTTTTCTTTACACTTGCTTAGTCTTTCAGGTGGTATTTTCATGCCTCCTCCATCTCAACCCCTTCCAGACATTATTAATAAAGAAAAAAGTTCTCCACATTTTGTGTGTCTTGAGTGCAATGTGGAATTACGGATCATATTTGTGCATATATATAATTGAGTAGGAATTACAAAAGATTGTAAAATGGAATATTTTGTGACTTGCACAGGAGTAGCATGAAGTTCCAGTTGTTTTTGTACTATGCTTTAGAAAAAAGCATATTAAAACTTTGAATTTAGGAAACTTGTCAAAAACCAGCATACAGAGTACACTGAAACTGGCAGTGAGAAACCAAAACAATTTGGTTGGAGGATGCTCTGATATAGATAAAATTTCAATGCAGCATAAACAATAGATTTATACTGTAATAAAGACTTACTCTTCTAGATGTGTTTCTGATGTTTTTCTCAGGATCAGCCTAGTAACAAGAGAAAAATGTATTTATTTTTGACCAGCTGTACAGTGGCTTGAAAGTATTCCCTTAATTTGCTGCTGCTGTCTGTGAGGGGCAGCAGTCCTCAGCTCATGTGCAAGAGGGACACTACACATCAAAGAGGAAAGATCAGTCAAATAGGGAAAGAGAACTGGGTATTGGTTGTATGGTGGTATGTGTGGAGATAAAAGCATACAAAATACTATTAGGAATCATTATTATTCTTACCTTATTTTCTATGACAATTTCATATTTGAAACAACCACGTCTTTTCACATGACTTGTGCGAGGTGGTTGCCACTGAATTTCACAACCATGAGAAGCTTCTGTACAGTTCACAGTGACATTTGATGGAGGGGTGAGTTTTTCTACAATAATAGAATCAGAAATACTAATGATTAATAATCATCTTTCTTCACTCTGCCTTTTAAAAATATAGGTAGATGTTCAAGCAACTGGTTTAAAAAGTTTTAATGCAGCTCTACCAGAATTTTTATATTCACCCCATATTCTGAAACATAACTTCCTGACTTAACACTCTAGATGAGGAACCCAGAGTATCAGCAACAACAGTAGATAAAATTAAAAAATACAAGCAATTGCTTAGATTTTACTGAATTCAATGTATAATCTATGCAGGGTTTTTTATAGACTGTGTTCATATTAAGCAGAGGTAATTTTTTTTATTTTTTTATTTTATTATTAGCAAAATTCTTCCATTTAAAAAAGGAAAGTTTTTGCTCACAATATTAAGGTAATTGGTTCTTTTGTATTTTGTGGATGAACAGAACTATGAGATCTAGATAGTCCCACTCAGGCATCCTTAGCTAGCTATTCTGCAACATGACACCTTTCTGTCAGAGAATAAATATTTGACTGAAACGTTGACAATTCCCAGACTTATGATTTCAGATTGCCTCTGCATTCATTTATTTTTGTTCATTCTTACACTTTTGACTTTTCAGCTATAAAGGTTGGAGAAAAGAAAAAAATACCTAACCCGTGTTCTGAAAAGCAGTATTTTAAAAATGTATTTTTTTTTCCCCAGGGATTAATTCTTCATTGCCTTAGCATAAAACTAGAAATTAAATAATGAAAATAAAAAGTCCTTACCAATTTTGTACAGGATAATCATCTTCTTATATGACTGAATGTTTTGTCCATTTCTAGAACCATTTACCAGGAAATAAGCTCTCTTATTTTCTATTGTCACATTTTGGAATCTACATCCTGTGTGCCTTCCATAATTATCTTTGATGTAATTCTGACATCCTGTGAAGTCTTCTTTCCTTTACATGACATATTGCATCAGTTAAATATTGACAATGTCACTTGTCAGAGAGAAACCAAAATTCCCTAGGTTCAAGCAGACCTACTTACCTTGAGGTCTTCCAGTACAGGAAATATTGGGTATCTCCTGAAACATTCCTGCCCACATGCCAAGTGCAATTCATGAAGGAAACATTAAAAATGACACAGACAAAATTTTCAATTGCTGTCCCATTCATGCCTGTGAACACAGTCATAATATCCCATGTTCACTCTGCAGAAAGACTGTATAAATGCACAAATCATGCAGATATCTACAAACTCATTTAGTAGTTTTTTTAGCTACCTGATTAGTAAATCCAGCTGCATATTGTCTGGGTCTTGCAGTTATACACTTACTTTAAGATAGCAGTGATTTTATTTGTGTTGAACCATGAGGATTATCTACCATCATTAGAGATGCTGAAGATGTGACTATGATTTAATCAACTCTAATCAAGTCAGGCACCCTGATGTAGTGAAAGCTAATAACAGTCACTATTGTATCCTTTCTTTATCTAAGGTCTTTCAAGGAGACTGACATTTTTCTCTTTCTAATTTATACTTGAGGACTAGCTAAATTTTTCTTGTGGCTTCTTGCTTAACCACTCCTCTTTTAGTAACTCCATATTTGTCACTTTATCATTATTTACTTAAAAAAGAGGTAAGGCCATACTCTCATGATCCTTTTCTGTAAGTAGTGATGCAAACAGTTTAGTTTCTCTGTAGTGTACTGTACCTCCTGAACTGTCTCTTATGTTTGACAATGATAATAAAATACGTAGTGCAAGCATGTCAGTATCCTCACGAGCACCCTCTGTTTCATACATGAATAACTTATTTTCCCCTATTTGGTATCTTTAGCTATATCTGAATCTTTCTTGACATTCTTTATATTTTCTCATGAAAGAGATAAGTTACTTAACAGAGTGAGACAGATGTGATGATTGTGATTGCACCAAACTACATAACAACCCACTGTTTTAAGCACACACAGTGCCTTCTTTTATTTAGTTAGTTACTGGTTTTGAGTCAGCTTAGATTGCCCATCTTTTGGGCAGATGTTGGAAACTGTAGTAGTATCTTCAGAAAAATGCCAGAGTAAAGAATATTTGCCCCTGTGATCTTTTGTGGTAATCAAGATTATTAACAAGCAAGGACAGGATCTCATCTGTGGGCCTTGAACACAAAATGATTTTTGCTTTAATTCAGTACTTGAATAGAAAATGTATAAACCACTCTTGACCCTTCAGCACAATGGATTAGGTAAATTGTAAAGGATTGTAGCTAACATACTTGCTACTGGAAATTAAGAAAAGAAAATTAAATTTCTTTAACCTGATTCTGAAAATGCTGTCAATTGTGGGATGGTGTTTGTCTTACCTAAGTTTACCCAAGTGCTGTGTCGATATGCCAACAGGGCATTCTATGCTGCCTCAAGAGTGCCTGGAAAGAAACAGCTACTTAAGACACAGTTTATTCAGCCTAGTCTGGGGAAAGATGAATGAAGGCTTCACTATGTTTATTTCTTGCAAGTCACTGAGCAGATAGTCCAGTGTGACCAGTCCAGAACGATCCCTCTCAGACTAACCTATCCACCTTGGTCAGGTGAATCCAGGAAGATTCATTCCTTTTTCCTCTTACATCATCTGGAATCCACAGATAAGCATTTTCCCACTGAAAACTGCAAAATTATTTTTGAAAATGCCTTTTACTCCTCTTTCCTATAACTGTAATAGCGATGTGTGCTTCCCTTTAGAAAAACAATTGCAGTAGAACAGTATTATTTTCCACAGAGATTGTCCAAATTTCTTTTCACATTTCAAATAATTCCTGGGCAGATTATTGATCAAAATCTTAAGGAAACTTAAAGTATTTCTGTGTGAAGTTGTTTTTTTTCTGCACTGTGTTTTTTAAACTCTATGAAAATTAGCTTCTGCTAGATGCTGTGCAACAGCACAGGCCACTCAGTTACCTGTTAGAGAATTCTGAATCCTGACACATGTCCACAGGAGATTGTCATGTTAGGAGTTTGGAAATAGTAGTGAGGTAGAAATCCTGTTGCCGTGATTATTCTCATCCAGGTTGATTAGAGAGCTCCTTAGGTGAGAATAAAAACTGTCCAATAACCTGCTGATTGTAAGTAACATACAACCAACATACAACATACAACCAACATGCAACATACAACCGTGTCTCAGTACTCAATGAAAAGGAATGTATGTAATTGAAAAAATCCCCAAACCTTACACTTTGTTTTTATATCACAATATTTTGCTAAGGGAAATATCTGTCTTGGGTATAGTGCTTAACACTAAACTTCTGAGGTTTATTTCCCAGCTTTGGCTCTGAAACACTTGGAAAGTTATTTTTGCCAGAGGGAATGTATGCAAAGGAATTACTGCTTATATGGAGGATGTGCTGTTAGGGTAAAATTATGAATACATCCCTGCAGCATTTTCAGGAACTGTGAATATGTGAAATTTTCTACTTCAATATTAAAATTGTAATAAGAGAAAGGACACTGAGACACTTTTATTCGACTGGTGTCTAAATGCAGTACAGAAGAGATTCACTCTGCATAGTGATTTTGCTTTATGGACGTAGATAGCTAAAATTTGAACATTTCTGGTTTGACTGGGTTTTCAAGAGAAAGTGACATAGGCAGTCTTCAGTGTTGTAATGCAGGTCTTAACAAGCAGAATACTGCTATGTGGATGAGATCAGTAATACCGGAAACTTTTAATTTTAGAATATATTTATATAATTATTTTCAGACTATAGAAAAACATATCATTAAAATTTTGGCTAAGACATTCATCAGACAAAACTTGCATTTGCAGGTAGTATCTATCTACCCCTCACATTTATTTTACAGCATTAAAACTCACAGGAATAACAAAATACAGTGTTCCTTTGCCTAGCTTCTTTGGAGTAAAATAAAAAACAAAAAAACCAAAACAAAACAAAACAAAAAAAAAAACCCAAAACAAACAACCCAGAAAAGAAAATAGAAAAGAAAGCCAGACAAAGACAAAAGCAAACTTACGTCCTCCTTGAAAATGCATTTCCTTGTGGCTGTTAAAGTAATGGTGAACAAAAAGGGTGGAAGACGTGAATGTGGCTTGGTGGTGTATTTTTGTGCACTTTGGCAATGTGATGTCGTTAAATTCTTCTGAACTGCTCATGTAATAGGGTGTAAAAACCCGCCTACATCTTCCTCATTTCCCTTACCCTGTACTTCTGTAATGTGACTAGGAAAGCATGGTAACAGCCATTGTTTTTCACCATGGAGAAAAATAGGTGAGAAAAGGATATTCTCATTGTCACTTCATTTATGTATTTTTCACTCATTTCTGTCACTTATTTTTCATATAAGAGTTTGTACTAGGCAGAACCTCAAATAAAGGTGAATATGTGCGTCTACCTTGCAGTTCAGGTATAGATCAGGTATCATCATTTCAAGCCATAACTCTTCTCTGCTTACTGCTTAGGGTCACAGGTAGTGAGAGGAGAATATGCTCAGTGGTCTGGATTTCCCAACAGCTGTTCCCAGCTTTGCACTATCCAGCTTCATTTCCTGTAGATGTATAACAAATCAATATCACCAGACTCCACAACTTTTTCACTTGACAAGTGTAATCATTTTTCTGGACTGGGTGAATTCAGTGCAGAGACCAGGACAAGTTCCAATACATATGCAAATGCCCTGAGTATACCACGTCAACACTATGTCAGTTGTCTGTGCTGGTGCCCTGGTCCCAGGAAGGTTGCAATGACTCTTGTCCTCTGTCTGCAGATTCTGAATGTCCACTTTCCAACTGCATTCAAAGTGAGTACACGCAGTGTGGTGCTAACACAATCAGTTGTGGACTGCCCAGTCACAGATACCCACAACTGCCCTTGTTAGCAGGCTTTGAAATGAATGAGCCCAAGGCTTTTTTGCTATTTTGACTGCTCTTGGTACTGAAGAGTGTGCCTGTGTCCTGGAAGGTGTTTGTCCATCAAACCAACTCTCTGTGAACTGAGAGACATAGCAACTGCCTTTCAATAATTTGAACAGACAAATGAAGTTATTAAAGTAGTCAACAGCATTTAAATCGGATTACTTATAATGTTCACTGAGTATACTAGTTTTACTATACAAATCTGTTATATCTTACTGAAAGAGGAGTATTAAATCTGATCAAATCTGTCCTGCTTCTGTCTGTCTGTATCTTGTACAGCTTCATTCCCAGCAGCCATTGTTCTTGTTGCTGTTCTGGACAAAGGAGGAATTGGGGGTGTTCTTGAGATGTTTCCTCTTCTTCAGGTCTCAATTCCTCAATTTTATTTATATGGTAACAACAGGGCACTAGCGCGTTCCCTGCTAAGACACTTAATTTCAGGACCTACAGAAGCAAGGCTTTTTGTTCTCTTTCTCATTTTCTGTTGTAGACATATCTATACAATTGGAGTGAATTATGGTTTTGGGACAGGTTCATATCAGCGATCCTGAAACCTCATTTTCTATAAGGTATGTACAACCTGCCCACCTAGATAACAACAATACTGTGTAGGTTCACAGCTAAACAACTGATTCTTATAAGCATCTGTAAGTTGCACAGAATGAAACAGGTCTTCTGAGGAAAGGATGTAAGTATGTAATCACACTGATGTCAAAGCTTTTCAGTATGGCAGGAAATACTAGTTGTTATGTAAGGGACACAGTCTATAACCTTGCTACTATTATGTTCTAGTTTAATAAATGAAAAATTCTTATAACATTTAACACTGTTAGACAGATGAATTATCCAGGAAAACAACTGTAATAGTTCAGCGGTTTCTTGTATTTTGGGGGTTATGTTCTCTAGTTCATCAGCTGGTGAATGAAGTTGCTAAGCCACTGGCTACCATATTTGAAAAATCATGGCAGTCAGGTGAAGTTCCCGACAACTGGTAAAAGGGAAATATAACCCCGATTTTCAAGAAGGGGAAAATGGAGAACCCAGGGAATTACAGACCAGTCAGTCTCACCTCTGTGCCTGGCAAAATCTTGGAGCAGATTCTCCTGGAAGGCATGCTAAGGCACATGAAAAACAACAAGGTGCTTGGTGACAGCCAGCATGGCTTCACTAAGGGGAAATCCTGCCTGACCAATTTGGTGGCCTTCTATGATGGGGCTACGGAACTGATGGACAGTGGTAGAGCAGTTGATGTCATCTACCTGGATTTGTGTAAAGCGTTCGACACTGTCCCACATGACATCCTTGTCTCTAAATTGGAGAGACATCAATTTGATGAATGGACCACTCGGTGGATAAAGAACTGGCTGGATGTCCTGTGGAGAAGGACTTGGGGGTGCTGGTCGATGAGAAAATGAACATGAGACGGCTTCAGTGTGCTTGCAGCCCAGAAAGCCAACTGTATCCTGGGCTGCCTCAAAAGGAGCGTGACCAGCAGGTCAAAGGAGGTGATCCTGCCCCTCTACTCTGCTCTCGTGAGAGCCCACTTGGAGTATTGTGTGCAGTTCTGGTGTCCTCAGCATAAAAAGGACATGGAACTGTTGGAACAAGTCCAGAGGAGGGCCACGAGGATGATCAGGGGACTGGAGCACCTCCCATCTGAAGATAGGCTGAGAAGGTTGGGACTGTTCAGCCTGGAGAAGATAAGGCTGCATGGAGACCTCATAGCAGCCTTCCAGTATCAGAAGGGGGCCTATAGGGATGCTGGGGATCGACTTTTCATTAGGGGTTCTAGTGATAGGACAAGGGGTAATGGGTTCAAACTGAAACAGGGGAAGTTTAAATTGGATATAAGGAAGAACTTCTTTCCTGTAAGGGTGGTGAGGCACTGGAATAGGCTGCCCAAGGAGGTTGTGAATGTTCCATCCCTGGCAGTGTTCAAGGCCAGGTTGGACGAGGCCTTGGGTGATATGGTTTAGAGCGAGGTGTCCCTGCCCATGGCAGGGGGTTGGAACTTGATGATACTAAGGTCCATTCCAACCGTAACTATTCTATGATTCTATGACTGCTGTTTTCCATCTTGTCCTTGAGCCTGTTAAGAGCAAATTGCCTAGGAAAAAAAAATAGTAGCTAAAGAAATTGAAGGATTTAGAAAAGCCAGAGCAGAAAAGAGTTTGAATCACATCAGTGATACATACAAACTCCTAGATGATCAGACACTTGATATACACTGTCTACATTCCAACGAGGAGGTAAAGTATGGGAGCTGATCTAGAACCATAGGTATCACTAGGTAATTTATCATTATATCAACACATGAGCCTTCAGGTTAAGCCACTCATTAAACAGCTGAGTGGGACCAGGTAGTATAAAATTAGGGATGTTTTCTTTCTCATCAATGACAGAGGAAGAACTTGTCCTTCTATTAGATTCAGGCCGTATTATTTAATTTAGCTCCAACATGTGGTACCTGGTGAACTTGCCCAGGAGCAGGCTGCCCAGAGAAGTTGTGGAGTCTCCCTCTCTGAAGACATTCAAAACATGTCCTGGACATGTTCTTGTGTAACCTGCTGTAGGTGGCTCTGCCTTGACAGTGCGATAGGACCAGATGATCTCTAGAGATCATCAACGCTAACGATTCTGTGATTCTGTGAAGTTGCACTTACTACATCTTCTCTGAAACAGTATATGAATTGTTTGCAACTAAAACCCCAAAATCATGAACTAACCTTAGGAAACAAGTGAAATTGCCAAAATGAAAGAAAATGTCTTTCCTGATGAGAGTTCTATGTAGGGTACAAACTGGCACATCTTTCAGACCAACTGCCAGGTCTTATGGAAAACAAGGTTTTCAGCTCTGTTTCTCTGTCGCCATTCTATAAGGTATGGAAAGATATCTTCAGGCTGTGAAGCATTCTTTTATATTACTGTGTTCAGGTAGAACAAAAGCTAATTGATGATCTTATGACTAGTGTGAATTCTCTATTTGGCTTTCAAGGAAATCTTACTACTTATGACATCTTGACTAGAGGAAAATCAGACAACCCAACTCTGCCTCCTTAGTACTTGTGGCAAGACACCAAGTTGGCACCAGATGAGCTGTAACACTTTGTAAGACAAGTGTGCCCATGACAATCCAGCATGCATATTACTCATGCTCTGCTTACTGATGAGATAAAGAAAAAAACCCAAG